AAGGGTGGAAACATTTTTCTCCTGAGTCTTCAACTGAGAGCAATTTAAATTCCTGTAGCTGCTGGGGTGGGAGCTGAGAACCTGGGATGAGCATGTGGGTGGGGCTGAAGCTCTGGGAACAGAGGGATGGGGCTGGGCACCCAGGCCTGGTTTCTGTGGAGACAGGCCCTGGGGAATGGGCCTTCAGTGCAGGGCTTTCGTGGCAGTACCAGGGTCATCACCCCAGGAAGCTCCTGGAGCTCAGGAGGGGCTCCGGAAGGCTTCTCAGAGAAGCAAGGACTTATGCAAGGCCCTGGGGGAGGGGGCAGTTGGATAGGCAGATAGTGAAGGAAGGGCATTCTAGGGGGAGAACAAGGCATGAGGTGGGAGGGCACAGGAAGTTTGGGGGAAGCAAAAGTAGTTCGCTCCCTCTGGCTGGAAAGTATGTCTGCAGGTGAACAGCAGAGGAGTCCCTGAAGTGTTCCCACCACATCCAACAACAGCTATATCGGCCCTGCTGGCATTGAGACCCGGGACTGAGATTCACTCACTCTGCAGAGTTGAGGGGTGATCCAACTCAGTGACAGTGTTTCCTGGATCCAAAGGTGTATCATCCACTCTGGATCACAGAATGGACTGTAAGGACCCCCAAGAAGGCGAAGAGAGGCTGCCTAGCTGTGCTCTTACACCCCGGGCCAAGCACCAACTCTGGGTACCCTGGGTCCCAACACCAACTCTGCTGTTCCTTCCAGAAGCTACCTCCAGGCTGGCCTCCCAGTGCTGACCACAGTACATCAACTCCTATCAGGGTCCAGGTGGGCCATGGTGGAGAGCAGCAGAGGGAGCCAAGCCCCTGTGCCCTGACCCCAGGCCCAATCCTAGCCCGCTCACAGAAGGTTCTGATTCTGGGACTGTAGTCTGGGGAGACTTGGGGTGCTCTTCAATCTACAAGGTCCACGTGCGGGGGAGAGTCCTTGCTCGAGTTTCACAGACCTGGGTTCAAATCCCAGTTTTGCCACTTACTAACTGAATGGCCCTCGTCATGTGGCTTCAATTCTTTGTACTTCAGTTTCCTCTTCTGTCACTCAGGGATGTGAACTGGGGACTATGGATGGCTGGCCAGAGAGAATATACATAAGGTAACTGGCACAGTGTCCAGCATGGGCGCAGAGTGAGAAACACAGGAGGGATACACGGTGCAGGAGGGGGAGGGGTGGTTGACCTGGTCAGCAGCCTTCCTCCTGGGAGGGATGACAGGGAGGCAAGTGCCTGTGGCTGCAGTGTGGAACATGGAGTCCAGCCCGGTCTCCCTGCACCCCCAGCCTGCCCCATTCCAACCCGAGGCTGGCCCTGGAGCCTGCCCATGAGCCCAGCACTTCTCCCAACCAGGAAAGGTGTCCTGGAAGTTCAGGCCTTGGCCCACCCTTTCCAGAAATCAGGCTGCAGAGTCAGGGGTGGGGCTGGGGAGCAAGTTCTGCCACCTTCATCCAGGCAATGGTGCACAGCTGGACCAACCCTCAGCAGGGAACAGTCCCACCCACCCCCAGTCCCTGGTAGACTGCCTGATCAGGGAGAAAGCCAGGCCTCCTTGAACTCAGAAGGACAGCGAGGACTCCGGTGAGGGGAGGGGTGCTTTATAAACACCCTCCCCCAACAAGGATGGGCCTGCCAGGACCAAGTGTTGTTGAACCCAAGGCTTCCCTGGAGAGAGAGGCTGACAACACGTTCTAATGGAAAAGGCAGTAACAGTGACTTATGATAATTGCACACTTACTGTGCAACAAGCACAGCACTAATGGTTACATGTGCCATTTTGTTTGACCTTCCTAATAATCCCCATGTTTTAAATGGGGAAACTCAGGCACAGACTGGGTGAGCCATTTGCCCAAAGTCCCAGAGCCAGAATCGGATGGGAGAACATGAGACTCTGAATTCAGCACCTGGGGTTCCAGCCAGAAGAGCAGGAGCCCGAGGAAAGCGAACCCTGAGAACCCACTGTTCTTTTAGCGCCACCTCTGGAGTGGCCATTAAGCAACTCCGCTCTGCCCAGGACACAAACTTGTTCAGAGAGCAAGTTTGATGATGGGATGGGGAAGGGTCTCCATCTCTCTGACTCAGAGCTGAGCAGGGCCCCAAGGATGTTCCCCGAGGATGTGGGTGTACACAGGCCACTAAGAAGCCAGGGGATGCAGATCCAAAGCAGGGTGAGATGGAAACAAAGAGAGGCATAGAGGGGAGTCCCTGGAGGTGTGCAGGGGTCGGTAGCTACCATAGGGGTCAGGATGTTTGGGTGGGCGTAAGTACCACCTTGCTGCAGCCTCATCTGGTTCCTGAGTGGTCAACCCCACAGCAAGCATGAGAGTGACGGGCATGCCAATGACAGAGGAGGACACACGTGGGCTGAGAATCTGCCTGAGTGTGTCCTGTGGACACAGCTGTGGTCCTCTTGTTCCCTGGGAAAATCATGGGAGAGCACAGACCACTTGGCCTGAAACTCACACCATCCCTATTGGAAGGATGCCCTGCATTGGGCTGATGGCCCCAGTGTGCCCCGCATCCTGGCCCTCACGTGTTCTCTCCTCGGTACATGGATAAGACAGGCCACCTCCCCAGATGCCACTTAGGGACAAACTTTCCATGCTGTATGTACGCCAGGTGTCTCCCAACTAGAGGTAGCACTCAAGTCAACCTGTGGTGTCCCTATTAAGATGATGGGGTGGGGACCTTGACTGGGTGGGGTCCCCATAAGAGCACTCTAAAGTGTCTTTCCTGAACACCAGGGAACATTAGGAGAAAAGAGATGAAGTGGGACTGGCCTTAGGAGCAGTTCAGGGTAAGAGGGCCTGTGCCCACCCCAGGGTACAGTTATTAAAGGAGAGACCACATCTGCTAGAGGGATGATCACAGAACCCTGGTGGGAGAGGAGGAGACAGGAACCATGATGGTGCCATCATGACCTCCTGCTGCTCCATGGTGACACTGAGGTCTAAGACAGGAGCCCCCATGGAGACTTGGTGGTGGCTGGAAAATTCTGGCATCCCAGTTATGGGCCAATGTCTCTCTTTCTGGGTTGTCCCCATCCCACCAAGGTGGTAGGTGAGGACAGGGCTGCGGTGCGCCAGTATGGGGAGAGGGGCCGGGACACTGCCTCAGCTGTCCTGACCTGCATACGAGGGAGAGCAGGCTGGGGTTGTGCCAGGAGTTGCCAGCAGGTCTCCCGGAGATCATGGTGAGAGCCTACCTTGGGCCTGAGGTCCTGGTTTCTGCCTCCCTACCTGCTTTGGGGACATTTACAATGACGCCTTCTTGCTCCCACCAGACAATGGCTGTTCCGCCAATAACCGTGGCCCTTCACACACACCAGGCTGGCTCCTCCTTCTAGAATGCTATGCACTGTTCCCTTCCCTCCCCCACCCCCACTTCTTCCCCTCAACTTTCTACTCCTCACCCTCCAGGACTCAGTGTAGACACCCATTCCTCCAGAAAGCCCCCCTGCCTGTCAGGGTGCACCTGTGTGTGGCTCCCAGATCCACACGCTACCCTGCTGTCACATGGAACTGAGACCTCCTGCAGCTGCCTCTCTCCCACTGGGTGTGAGCTCTGTGAGCTCTGTGAGGGATGTGCCCAGCATCGCACAGTGCTTAGGAGATAATTTTTTTGAGTCAGGCTCTCACTCTGTCACTCCGGATGGAGCGCAGTGGCACAATCACAGCTCACTGCAGCCTCCAATTACTGGGCTCAGGCAACCCTCATGCTTCAGCCTCCTGAACAGGTGGGACTACAGCAAAATGCCAATCCCCCCCAGCTAATATTTAATTTAATTTAATTTTTTGAAGAGATGAGGTCTCACTATATTTCCCAGGCTGGTCTCGAACTCCTGGGCTCAAGCAATCCTCTTGCCTTGTCTTCCCAAGATGCTGGGATTACAGGCGTGAATCACCACACCCAGCCGGGAGATATATGTGGAGTGACTGAATGAGAAAGGAGGCCAAGAATGCAAGTGAAGCCCCTTCCAGCTGCCAGGGCCATGTCGTCTTCATCTCTGTATCACTGGCATCAACCACAGTGTTTGGCTCATGCATAGAATACTAGATCTGGATGATTTCCTGAGAGCACGAGGGTGATACCTGCAGCACAGATGAGTCTACTTGAGTATGGTGTTGGGGGCTTCGCCGTATAGCAGGGTGCTCCAGCACGGAGACTTGGATCCACTCTGCCTGGGAGACCACTGGGAGCCTTAACAGACACCGACTCATTGGGCTCTTGTTGTCAGTGGCTTGTGGGGAATCAGGAGAAGCCATTCCAGGCAGAGGTGACCAAGGCACAGAGGCACAAGTGAGGATGCCCTTCTTGGGTTTACTCTGGAAAGCAGCTGAATGTGGTCCTCTCATCCCCATCACATCTGTGTCCTTCTGCCAGCTGAAAGCCATGCCACCATGCTGTCCTCTTCAGCTCAAGGTCCCCAGATTGTGGGTTTAAGCCCCAGAAGAAATGCAGACCACGGGAAGGGGGAAACTGAGGCACCCAGATTAGCCCACGCTCTTGGCTGCTTGGGCCTGAATAGTTGCCCGATGAAACTGACCCTCCTTCCTACCTCAAGGGCTCCCTGCCCCTCAGATGCCTGGTTCCTAGTGCCCCCGCCAGGAGGAGAAAGAAAACAGGAGCCATCCAGAGAGGCCTGCATTGTTCCCCGGTGAGTGACTCATGCAGGAAACGCTCTGTCCTCACTCCACGGCGCGCATTCCCCTGTTCTTGGTGACTCACGATGGCTAAAATCACAAGGCCTTTCGGCTGTGTGCCTCCCTCCTGGGCTGTGAGAATGCTATGTGTGCCCTGGGCCACCTGCCCTCTCCCCAGCTGGAAGCAGGAGGGGAGACCAGGCAGGTGAACACTCCTCCATGCTTGCAGACACCAGGGGCCTGTGTCCCTGAAGCTCTGATGTGCGTCCTGACTCCCTGGGAGATCAGGGTCCCGCCTCAGCCTCTCTCCTTCTGAGGGGAAGTAACAGACATGCCATTCGGTGTGTGGTGGCTTTTTATTGTGGCATGGTGGGAGGCTGGCCGTCGTGCTGGCTCCCAGCAGGGGTCGCTCTCTAGTCTCAGACGAGAGCTTCCTCTGGGGCCCAGCAGGGCCTGGGAGTTGTGGGGTGTAGGTGGAGACACGCAAGGAACAGATCTTTGGGGAGGGAGGCCCAGCCTCTACTTCCAGCGCCCGGTGACTTTGGCCTTCCCACGGGTCTTGGAGCTGCAGGGGAAGCAGGACCCAGTGAGAGGAGGACACAGGCAGAGCAGCAGGTCACCGTGGCGGGGGCTTGGATAGGGTTGCTGAGGGTGAGAGGAGCAGCCTGGAGCTGCCTCCAGGGGCAGAAAGGGAGGCAAATTCAGGCCAGAAGGAGGCCGCTCTGGCCCCATATCCTGCTCCCTCCTGGCAAGCAGAGGCTGGAGGAGAGAAGCAGGAGGCTCCAAAGGAGCCAGAGAAGGCAGCTGTGAGCTGAGGCCAAGGAGGAAGGGCTGGGTGCCACCCAGGGGGTGGGAGGACTGGAAGGCGGAGGAAGGGGTGAGCGGGAAGAGATGGCCGTCGGCACTTACACTTTCTGATTATCGTTGATCCTGTTTCGGAGAACATTGATCTGCAATAAAAGTGGGAAAGACAAGTGGGCTGCAGTGTTATCTGTGGACGTGGAGGCAAGGAAGAGAGAGCTGACTCTCCCACAGTCCACAGCCAGCAAGGGGCACAGGTAGAAAGCTAACACGGGCAGCACGGCTCCAAAGTCCGTGCTCATCATAACCACGAAATACCACCCCTCTCGGTTTGGGGGAGGCACCCCATGGCCATGAGGGCCTGAGCCACCCCAGGGAGGGGGCCCCTGCACAGGGAGGTGTGGTTTGGCAGGAGCAGCAGAGTGGGCCTCAGGAGAAGCTGGTCTCCTCCCAGAGTCAGCAGAGAGGCCCCGGTGGGCACAGGAAGGGCAAGCGCCGGGGTCTGAGTACAGGTGTGCAGGACCAGCGTGGGCTAAGCCACCTTCTTGCCTGGTGTCTGCACCCCTCGGATGTTAACTAGTGTCCAAAGAACGAACATGCTGGGCTGTGGGCTTGAGGCTCGGCCCGACTATGCTCAGACCAGCCCTCAGGCGTACGTGCGGAGAAGCACCTCTCTGGCAGACCTCCCACTCAACTGGGGGACCCAGCTCTGCGCAGCCTGGTCCTTCCATTGGCTCAAAGTGCTGAGCTGTTGCCTCAATGCCTTAGGGCTGGAGCCCCAGGAGGGTGTCTTTGCCCAGGTCCGGCAAGCAACAGCCACACTGTTGGAGGCCAGGCCCTAGGGCAGGTGCGGGAATGGACCGGGGTTGGTGGGGAACAGGGACAGGGGCCTGACCCGCAGCACTCGTGTGGGGCTCAATCAAACCAGGAGGAGTCCAGGATGCGGGAGGAGGGTACAGCATTCAGCTCACTTCGTATTTCTGCTGCTTGAACTTCTCCTGCAGGTCAAATTTCTCCGCCTCCAGGTTATAGATGCTTTGCCACAGTTCCTTGGCCTTCTCCCTGCACGGGCCAGGAGGGCAATAAGGAAAGAGCCTCATGGGCCTCCATGCTGGTCCAGACCCAGCCCCCATGGGCTGCACCCCTTCTCCCCAGCTCCAGGCCTGCTAAGGGTGCCCCCAGCCCACCTACGGACCTGGCTCGGCCTGGGGCCCAGATGGCAGCTCAACCCCCTTCCCGCCACCTATGCGCGGGTGGTAAGTTGAAGCTCAGAAAGGAGAGGCGCATGCTCAGTTGTCTTTATTCACAAGCAAAGCCCAGACAGAGCGCCTGAACGCTAGCGCTCAAATCTGGTCCCATCGAACGTTCCTTTGGGGGAAAAATAGGTGAGGTGGTAGCGCCCTCTGGTGGTTATCATCAAGAAGTGCCTTCTTTCCTCCCTGAGTAGCCGCTGGCAGCGTCCTAGGGAACACCCCGTCTGGTCCCCACCTCAGCTGGTCTTCATTCAGGTGGTCGATGGCCAGCACCTTCCTCCTCTCGGCCAGAATCTTCTTCTTCTTTTCCCGTTCAGTCTGCCTTTTTCCACTTTTTCGCTCTGTCTGAAATCGACGGTAAGCAGGGAGAATTGACTAGACTGTCCTGCTGGAGCTCCCTAGCCCACCCAAAACCCTCTAAGGGGTGGAGTGAGGCCTGCAGAAGAGCCAGATTCTTAACCTCTTGTTCCTGCAACATCCCACACTAACAACTGCCTGAACTCCTGGGGGAAACCGAGGCAGGGGCAAGGAGAGTCACTTCAGCCCCTACCTCCTTTGCCTCCCCAGTCTCTTCCACCTGTCTCCAGCTTCCCCCTCTCCACCCAGCCCAACCGCTACACTCGTCCCCTGTGGCCTCCCCCTTCCCCAGGAACTCCCCCAAAAACTATGAGGAAGAAGGTTTGAGGTTTTGGTACCCACCTGGGCCTGCTAAACCAGGAAACCATGAGAGAAAGGCCCAGAGAAAGACCGAGACCCCAACAGAGACACAGAGGGTAGGCAGGGGAGACAAAGGCAAGGAGAGACATGGAAAAGAAGAAGATGATTCAGACACTGTCGGCAGCCTGGTTCACTAGGACATGAGTCTGGGGGTTAGGATAGGGGCGATTTTGGTAGCAGGGCAATGTCAAAGGCTTGGATGGTACGGTCACCATGAGGACAGAGGCAGGGTGGCTAGCCTAGTTCTGAGCTGGGGACTTCGGAAACCAAAGGAAATGTTCTGATTCCTCCACTACGTAGAAAAAATCAAGTTTACACACCCCTCCTCCCATGAGAATGGAGGACCTAGTGGCGTGGGGCACAAAAGTTAGGAACTGAGAGTGAGTTCCCAGGAACAAACAACCTCACATTCTTGTGGCCCACAGACACTTTTCATGGCAGCTCACTCGAGCTGCTCAGTGCAGCAGTGAAGGCAACATTAGTTCCAAAGGAGACAACTGAGGCTCGGAGGTACAAAGAGGTCCCCAAAACAACAAGAATTTATCGATTTTAAAATGGCAAATTCATTCTTACATGTTTAAACTTCAGTCACCTTCAAAGTACTCTCTGCCTGATGCAATACACCTATCGAGATGCTTTCTCCACTGCTCGAAACAGTTTTTGAATGTGTCCATTTTGATACCTTTTAATGCTGTCTACCATTTTTTGTTTCACCTCTTCCACATAGGCAAAATATTTCCCTTTAAGGACTTTTTTCAACCGGGCTCAGTGGCTCAGCCTATAATCCCAGCATTTTGGGAGACCAAGGCAAGTAGATTGCCTGAGCCCACGGGTTCGAGACCAGCCCGGGCACCTTGGTGAGACCTCATCTCTACAATAAAATAAAAAATAGCCGGGTGTGGTAGAGCATGTCTGTAGTTCCAGCTACTCGGAAGGCTGAGGCGGAAGGATCGCCAGAGCCTAGCAGGTCGATGCTGGGGTAGCCATGAGCGTGCGTGCCACTACTGCACTCCAGCCTGGGCGAAGGAGTGAGACTCCAACGCCAAAGAAAAAAAAAAAAAGGACATTTTTCATTTGGCGAGGGGGAGCTGCTAGAGGTGAGATAGGGTGAACGGGGGGGCCTGAAGGTCCCACTGTTTTTGGTAAAAAACAAAAAACCAAATTGCTGCACATCCAGCTTGGTGTGGGCAAGTGTGCTTGTAAATCACCCATCGTTAAATGGGCAAAGTGCGTTGAAAGAATCTCCAAAAGAAATCACTGAAGTTGAATGCTGCCTCCCTTAATAACACTGGCCGGTATGTGATGCCGATGGGTTTCTAGGACACATTCCTGGTAGGGGAAGCCTGTACCACAAAGGACCCGCCCTCCAAAAAATAAATCCAGGTTTTTTTAGATCCCCCTCACATGTGGCAGAGCTGGGTCTCCAACCAAAGTTGAGACTCTAGCACTGAGCTCTTCCAGCTGCACCAGCCACCTTGGGGACTCCTGAGCATCTCTGAAGCTAGGGATGGGGAGGACCGTTGGTGCTCCAGGCGCTGCCTGCAGCCTCCTACCCACAGGCTCTCCTAGGGAAAGCCACAGGCAAACAGAGCCAGTTCGGGGACTGTGTGTGAAGAGGCCTCAGTTTCCCACCCACAGCAGCTGGAAATTTCTTCCTGGGTCCAACCTAAAGTCTGCCTGCTGCAAGGACACCTCATCCCTCATGGACACACCAGGACCTCCTGTGATCCCTGCTGCTCCCCACTTACCTTCTGGATGTAGCCTCCAAAATGCATCATGTTGGACAAAGCCTTCTTCTTCCGGGCCTCATCCTCAGCCTTCCTCCTGTTCTCCTCCTCCTCCCGCCGGGCCCTTTCTTCCTGATTTCCAGGGATGGGGAAGAGAAAAAATTAGGGCCAGGGCCGCAAACCCTGATTCTGGGCTAGAGTTCAGCTTTCTCCTTTCCCGCTGGGCCAGGAGCCTTCTGAGGTGTGTTCTCAGCACAGGGTTAGCGCATGGAAGTCTGTTAAGTGAATGGAGAGCGACTGGATGAATGAACGATTCCCGAGTGTGAAGTCTCATCATCCCCCAGGCTGGGAGCTCCCCAAGAAGGCCTGTTGCCCTGGAGGGACCTTCCATCCCCACAGAGCTGCAGGGCACAGGATGAGGGCTGGAGTATCTTACTATTCCATGCTCACAAGGACCCAGGTGTGTCTGTCCTGTTCACTGGTGAACCGTCAGAGCCAAGCAATGCCCAGCGCTTCCTAGGCACATGTTGTCTCGACTGGCTCAGTGTCTATGAACAGAGAGGGGCCCGGGGCCCGGCAGGAGCTGGGAGCACGGGGCTCTCCGTGGGCCTGGCTGGGGTCACTCACAGCCAGGCGGTTCTGCCGCTCCTTCTCCCGCTCGTTCCGGATGCGCTGCTGCTCCGCCCGCTCTGCCCGCCGCCTCTCCTAAGGGGAAGAGGCAAAGCCTGTCCGGGTGTGCAGGGGAGGAGGTGGCATCGCAGGTGCAGGAGCCCACGTGGGGTGGCGGGGGAACTCCTGGGGGGGTTCCCCTCCTGGATTCTCAGGACAGTGGTGCCCTGTTACAAAGGCTTCCACTCTCAGCCAACTCCATGGAGGCAGGTGGAGACAGCCCCCCAACAGGTGGTTCCCGCGGGAAAGTGCCCCGATGCAGAGTGACAGCCCACACCAGGGAGGCCCACCTCCCTCATGACTCATGGCAAGCGGCCCTCAGCCATTTGGGAAATGCCATGCAGCCTCCTCCAGGGCTCTACCCTGTCCCGCCCCACCCTGGCAGCTGCTCTGAGCTCTGTGCTCGGTTCTCTGACAGGTGGCTAAGTCATCACTCTAGCCAGGATGGCATGTCTATGGAAAGGCAAGTTTGGGGAAGAGAAACAAAAAGGAATCAAAGTGTCCTCCCCACTCTGCAGCAGAATTGCTTGGGTTTCTGCGGGTCACACTCAAGTTCCTGTCACCCGTTGGGTAGGAGAAGGCAAGGGCAGGGAAGCACCACAGACATCTGGTCAGTCATTCCATGGCCAGAACTTGAGTTAGGCCCTGTGGGGGCTAGAAATGTATCCGACCAGCCCTTGGCATCAAGGAGCATCCAGTCTGGTGGGGAGGGGAGGCAGGGACCCAAGAGGCCGCAGTCAGGGCTTCCAGGGCAGCTCAGGGGCTGCAGGGCTCCTGGAAGAGAGCCTACATCTAGCAGGGCTGGGGGCACCAGGGAAGGCTGCCTGGAGGAGGTGGACCTAACGAAAGGGCTAAGGCCTTGGGGAGCTTGGGGTGAGGACACTGGACACTCACGATCCTGTCCTTGAGAGATACCAGCTCCTCTTCCTCCTTCTTCCTGTTCTCAAAGTGAGCCTCGATCAGCGTCTGCAGCTCATTCAGGTCCTTCTCCATGCGCTTCCGGTGGATGTCCTGTGGGTGAACCGCTGGGGCTCAGAGGCTGCCACCTCCACACGTCCAGGGAGAGATGGGGGGGCTAGAAACTCCCCGTGTCAATGCAAAAGGCCTCTGGCGAGGACTGGGACCTGACCAGGGAAGGCACAACTGTGGCCTGAACCCAGGACCATGCTCAAGGGCCAGCACACAGTCTGGCCGGGGCAATCACCATCCTACCTGCAACCTGCCCACAGTTCAAGGCCACAAAGTGTCTTCTCTTTCTGGGGGGACCCCTGGGACGACCCCCAGCCCAGGCCTGCTCTGCCCACAGTCACCACAAAGTCCACTCTCACATCAAAGTCCACTCTCTCTCCATCCGGGATCTTGGGAGGCACCAAGTTGGGCATGAACAACCTGTTGGAGAGAGGGATCGTCAGTGAGCGTCTGCCCTGCTCTGGACCAGGAGCCATGGGTACCACAAACGACCCCAACAACCACCGCCTCCGGGGTGCTTCACATGTGCACCACCAAGCCGGCCTGCCCTGCCCTGACCCTTTTGGACTTTCTGAAGCCGCCATGTCTAGGCTGCCATGGTTCCATTGCCTGGCTCCCCAAAACGTTCTTCCCTTATCCACAGGTCCCATGTCTGGCCATCCCGTGGGATAGGAGAGTGTGTCTGCCCAGGACCACGACTAGTCCATCTCCTTCTAGATCAGGGGTCCCCAACCCCCAGGCTGTGGACCGATGTCTGTTCATGGCCTTTTAGGAACCGGGCCACATAGCAGGAGGCGAGTGGTGGGCGAGTGGAGTTCCGCCTTCTGTCAGATCAGCGGCAGCATTAGCTTCTCATAGGAACACAAACCCTATTGTGAACTGTGCATACGAAGGATTTAGGTTGTGCTCCTTTTGAGAATCTAATGCGTGATGGTCCTCCCACCCTTGTCCGTGAACACATTGTCTTCCGTGAAACCGGTCCCTGATGCCAAAAAGGTTGGGGACCGCAGCTAGATGAACATAGCACCACCCCTGCCAGGGTGCACAACTGCTGGTGAAGTGTGGGGTGGAATTCAGTCCCTACTCACTCCCCTCAGGCAGAGACCCTTGTGCAGTACACAACTTGTACAATTGTGTTTGGTGATCTGTGCCTGTCATGCCCCCAGCTCATGTCCACAGCACTACACTGCACTCCTGTCCCATCATCATCCTCCCTCACTGGTCCTCAGCTCCAGATTTTTACTACAGGTGCATCCTACTCACCTGGGCTTGGGTTTGGACTCCTCCACGGGGCCATCTGGGGGAAAGAGAAGCACACAGCCACAGGGTCAGAGGGGACAAGATCTGGTCCCAGCTCCACCCCTGATGAGCTGGGCCCCTCTGGGCCTCCATATCCCCATCTACAATGAGTCCCTTCCAGCCCTGGGGAGCTCCGATTCCAGGAGCATCAGCAAGACTTAAGGCAGCAGGGGTTGCAAGCCCTGCCTTCCTCCCCCACAGTGGGTCCAGGAGGATGTCTCAGCAGATGGCTGAGTCCTGCAGGGCACACACACACTCAGGGTAGAACTTGAAAGCCTTTGCTCACTCACTAGGTCCAGGCAAAGCAGCCTGGCTTCTCTCTGCATCACAGTGAGGAGGGGTCTTTTGGGAAGGTCTCCAGGGTCCTGGCCCTGGAATCCCCCCCCAGGTCGTTGCCTCCTCGGTTGTCCTCAGACTTCCTGGTAGCCACCAGAAGCTGATGGACATGATTCCAAGTCCCAGCTGGCTGTCCCCTCCTCTCTGAAGGCATGACTGGGACTACCGGGAACCCTGGTAAAGGCTGCAGCATGCCAGTGTACACAGCCATGACCCACCACCTGGACCATCTCTGCACAAAGTGATTTCCCTTAAGCTCCAGGAGCCTCGTGTGAGGATGTGACTTCTTGGCTCCCTTGCCCTGCCCGGACTGGGGAGCTGGACATTGTTCCCCTCTCCTTGGGTGCCACCAAGACATCTGCTCTGGGGGAGGAGGATCAAAGATTTAGAGCTCAATCTCTAAAACTCTGTAAGTGCCACCAAGTTCTGTCTCTTCTCCCCTAAATCCTCTTCTTCCCTAGCTCCCTGGACAGAGCCCTGTGGGCATCTCCCCTAAGAGCTGCTGTGATGGATTTCCTTGCCACCCCAAACCTTTCTCTTGACGTCCAACAGTCCTTACCTTCAGCCTCTTTGGATTCCTCTTCTTGTTCATCTTCTAAAGAAAACATGAAAAATCAACAGAAGTCCTTGTTCTGAACTCAAACCTCCCCCACCAGACAGGTCTCAACCAAGGTGTGCCCTGTGGGTTTATGGGGTCAAGGAGCTGTCTATTCACACACGTGCTCTGGGCCAAGACTACCTGACACAAAAGAAGTGCTCAATGTTTGTTGACTGGATAATTGATGGTTGAATCCCAGCCAGACAGGAGGAGCAGGCACACATAGAAGAGCATGTTCCAGGTTTCCTGCTGCCACGGGAATGGCTCTGGGAGCTCTCATCATCCCCCAAGTCCCCTACACCCTCACCCCAGAGCCTTACCTTCTGCCTTGGTCTCCTCAGTTTCAGCCTCAGCCTCTGCCCCACCATCAGCGTCCTCTTCTGCTGCCTCCTCGTGCTCTGGAGCAGTGAACCAGACACAGTGAACAACCAGGCCCCCGCTCATGCTCTCACGCAGATCCCAGAACAGACACACATTGGTGGGGGGGGGCGGGTGAGGGGGGGAGTCAAGTCCAGATGAATCTGGAGGTGGCTGGTTTGAATGCCAGGGAGCCACTCGGCTTTTGGCCTAGACTGTCTGTCTGTGGGCTCCCTCTGCCCGACCTAGCCCCCCTTATCACAGGACCTCCCTGGTGATGTGACTCCACCCCATCCCCAAAATTTCCAGCCCAGAAGCACTACCCAGTGTCTGGCACCACAGGACATGCCCTGCTTAAGGTGAGGTAATGGGAACCAGGTACTGTCCAAGTCTAGAGACCCTTCATCCACATGGGAAAGAAACCAGAACAGCAAGCCTGTGGCTAGACAAGATGCCCAATGTTTGGATATTGGTACTCTCCCAAAAGTGGGCAGGAATTTTCTATTTTCATCCATTTGCTTGGCAGGGTGTGGACCCCACCCCAGCAGGGCACTTGGAGTAGACAGATAGATGAGGCAGACAGGATGACGCCTGGCCCAGGACTCTGTCTATGGGGGTGCTTGTGATGCTTGTGGATTGGTAAGCGGCAAGTGTAGAGCCTCTAGGCAGAGGGAGAAGAAAAAGCCTTAGGCGGGAGGGAGAGGCTAGCTGGCAAAAAGGGAAAAGCAGCTTGAGTTCTCTCTGCCTTCCTCTCTCTGTTCCTCTTTCCTAGGTCTGAATCCTCTCTGAGGTCCGGAGATGCCTCTTCTTTGGTCTCTGCAGAAGGCTCACCTCAAAAATTACTCTTCCAGAAAGCATGAGAGAAGAGGGCTGGCTGAAAAGAGTATGGCAGGTGAAGTCTGCCCTCAGGCCATCTTGTTCACATCCCTCCCCCACAACCAATGCGTCATTTCTCTATGCAGTACACCCCATCTCACCCAGTAGACCTGTCACATTCTCAAGGATGGGCAGCTCACCGCCTCTCCGGGCCGCCCACTGTATCTTGAGACATCACCACCAGAAAGCTCTTTCTAAAATTAAGCCCTTTCCCTGGTCCTGTCCCTGGCCACTGAGGACACATCCAGTCCCCCACCCTCACAGGGCACATTTGAAGGCTGACATCATGGACTGTCTGCACTAGCTATTTCCAGTCTCCTGGCTGCTCCTCAGATGACACCGTCCCCAGGCCCCTCTATCCCTGCCACCCTGCCTAGGCACTGTCCAGCTCACAAGAAGGGTGGAGCATGGAACACAGGAGTGTGCAGCAGGGCAGGGACCCATTTGGAGCAGGTTGGGAGATGAACTGGCCTGGGCGTTTCCTGATACCCAGTCCAGGGGAAGGATCAGGGCCAGGAGAAGGAACCGGTGGCCCCGAAGGAGAGGCACAGTGAGGAGCTCAGAACTGTGGTCCTGGCCCCTCAGAGGCAGGGAAGAAAATGACTGATCCCCTCCACATCTGCCCCCCACTCTCATCGCCCCTCCCCCGGAAAAGGCCCTGACAAGCAGGCTGGCTCTCAGGACAGCAAGGAGCAGAAAGCAGACAAAAGGAAAGGAGGAAAGGAGGCTGTACTACCGTCTTCGTCCTCTCTCCAGTCTTCCTCTTCTGAGGTTCAGGGAGTGGCAGCAGCCGAGGGGGAAAGCGAGACAGGTTAGTCTGGGAACAGAAAGCCCGGGGCAGGAGCAGCAGTCTGGTGCAGTGGTTTTAAGAGTGTGGGCTTTGGAGTTAGGCCTGGGTTCCATCCTGAGCCACAGCTTTCCAGTAGCATAGGCAAACTTCTCAGTAACTTCCCTGAGCCTCAGGTGCCTCGTGGGAATCATCCTCCTCGCTTCTCAGCCCATGTGAGGACTGAAGGATCTAGCCTGCACAGAGCGCCCAGAGGATCCAGTCAGTGGTAACTGGCTTCCCTCTTTCTAAGACAGAGGCCCCAAAAGAGCAGAGACTGGGGAACAATTCGCTCCCGTCAAACTTCTTCCATGTTCCTGCCCTGAATGAGCCTCTTGGATACCCTGCAAACTACATCCCGTTTCCAAAGGTCACACTAGAGCCAGACCCAGGGGAGATTTGCCCTGCCTGTAGGAAAGAAGCCCTCCTCCCCACCCCCACCTAAGGAAGGTCCAGCGTTATAACCCTGAGGAAACAGACCACAACTAGGACAATTGTTCTAGATGCAAGTATATACCCAAAGAAGAGCTCACAGCAATTGCAACAATTCCTCTCCTGGGAGGAGAGATACTGGGAACTGTCTTTCCTGCAGGCTTAGTGAACATCCACCGAGACACTGCCCTCTCCTGATCATGCACAGCCGGGTACTCGGCTGCGTGAGGACGGTCTAGTCCCTTCAAGGCAAGCAAGGCGGATGCTACATGGCACTCAGCCCGCCAGCGCAGGGGAGAGTATTCTGTTGACTCCCAGCCAAATCTACTGTGTGTGGCTGACAGATTGCTCCCAAATCCAGAGGTCTATCGCACACCCCACCACCCAAATTTGGTGTAAAAAGGTGGAAGATCCTCCAAAACCAAAGAAGATAAGACCCAGCCTATCAAGAGTCTATGCGGGGAATGGCAGTAGTTGGAACCAGCTCGGTCTTTGATTCAAAAAATATTTATAGAGTATTTGGGGTTGTATTTAGTACTAGATAGTATCGTATTTAGTATTTAGATAGTATTTGAAGTATTTAGGGTTCCTTGAAAACAAAAAAGGACTCCTGTGGCCCCTTCCATTTCTCCTGTGAATTTCCTTTCTGTCTCTTCTCTGGCCAGACACCTCTGGAGCAGCGCTAAGGGTGCAGGAAAGTCCCATTTTCTCTAGAAGAAACGAGACGCAAGGGAGGGACCCTCGCTCTCTCGCCAGACCTTCGTGGAGACCCGTCTTCTGATGTCCACATGCCACGTGCTGAGTGAGATCTGAGCCACTAAGGGGCAGGGCCCATCCCGCCTGGGTGCAGACGCTTGAGGTGCCTGAAAGCCATTCTGGGCCACTGGGGGTAAGGGGACTGGAGCGAAGCCTCTTCATCCCTTCCATGTGCCAGGCTCTCAGGAAGAAGGGAAGGAAGGTGAGTGTGTCCCTTCAGTAAGATGTGGGACCCAAGGCTGAGCGGAGCAATGCATTAACAGATCGCAGTAGGAACAGCAAGTGGGTCTTTGAAAGGTAATAATAACAAATCTTTATGCCTATATAAAATGCTGATGATTATTGAAGCTGGGTGATGGGAATGTGTGTGAGGAGGGTGGAACGGGTGTCATTTTGTTGTTGTTGTTGTTCCTTTTATATGCATTGAAATTTTTCCATGATTTAAAAAAGGGGGGGAAACAAAAATAATTGGGAAAAGGGGTGATTCTGTTTGAAGAAAGTGGCTGACAGAAGAGACAGGTTTAAACCTTTTGCCTGGAGACCTGAGCAACGCAGGTGGGGCTGATTCCTAGTTGGGAGACACAGTTGTCAGGGGGTCTTGCTCAACTGAGAGTGATGACAGGGATGGACAAGCTGTTTCCCAGGGCACCCAGAAATACTGGATTCCTGAGGCTCCCCTTTCTGGCCCTCCACCTGCCCAAGGAACGTACCTTCCACGGCTTCTTCTGCTCAGAAGAGAAGGCCAGGGCAGCAGGAAGGGAGAGAAGAAGTGGGTCAGTTTCGAGCCAGGCTGTTCTTGATCCCAACGAGCACACAAGTTTATGCTTACCTTCCTGCTCTCTGAGGGCGACAGAAGACACTGTCAGTAGCTGAAGTATATATGAACAACACACACACACAGGAGTTTCCCAAAGATAACCCCCTTTTTTATTTCCCTCATTGCCTAATAGAGTTCACATTCCTCTGCCTGCCCTGTGATGACACCCACCAGCCAGACCCACCCTTCTTTGCCAGGGCTGCCTCCCACTGTCCCAGACAGCCTCTGTGACAGCCAGCTTAATCTCATCACTGCCCACTTGACATTCTCATCTCATTTCTGAGTTTTTCCCAGGTCGTGCCTTTTTCTAGAAAGACCTTCCCTCTCCAAAATCTTTTCTCTCTCCAAATTCGACACAGGTAAGGCCTGCCTTCTCTGCACAGCCTCCCCCAGACTAGCCAGCCCCCGGACTCCCTCTCCTCCGAGCTCCTGTACTACCGACAGCTCCTGTACTACCTTTCTGATAGTTTGTGTCTTTTTTTTTTGAGTTGGAGTCTCACTCTGTCGCCCAGACTGGAGTGCAGTGGCCGCTTCCGGCCACCGCAGCCTCGACCTGCTGGGTTTCGGCGATCCTTCCGCCTCAGCCTTTCGAGTAGCCGGAATTACAGGCATGCGCTACCATGCCCAGCTGATTTTTTGATTTATTGTAGAGATGAGGTCTCGCTGCCCAGGCAGGTCTCGAACCCGCGGGCTCAGGCAATCCACTCACCTCAGCCTCCCAAAGGCGCGGGATTACAGGCTGAGCCACTGAACCCGGCTAGTTTGTGTCTTAACATCCCAACAAGAGAGCAAGTTTCCTGAGGGCAGAAGCCGTGCCTGTATCTCCTGTATTCTCCGTAGATAGTTATTTGGTTGGCTCTATTTCACCCCCTCCCCACCAGCTTCCCCCCAGGATGGGGCACTGTCAGGGGAGAGGAGGGATCTAAGATGAAGACTGAGCTAAGTTTTGTGAGACATGATCAGGTCATTGAACCTTTCTGGACCAGTTTCAGAGACCCAACTTCTCAGTTCCTCTACTAGCCATTCTCTAGCCAGTTAGGACCCATTGACCCTGGAGCTGAGCCTCTGGACTTCCCAAAGTCCCCCACAGTCTGTGCTCTGCCTGGGATCCACACCCCAGAAGGACAGAAGTGGAAAGGAATGGGATCTATCTCTCCTTGGGATCCCCAGAACAGCCACAGCCACTGTCACCCAGGATTCTAGGGCAGCTCCAGGACCAGTGTGAGGGGTGGGGTGAGCACTCAGGATGCTCTCAGATACTCACTCCTCGTACTCTTCCACCACCTCTTCCGTGTCAGACATGGTCTCTGCTCTCCCTCCAGAAAGAGAGAAACATCAGTGCGAGCAGAAAGAAAAGACTGCCTTCCTCAGAAGAGCTCTGACCCCTAGTCAGGTCAGAGGCTGGCATAAATCTAGCTCCACCTCTTAATAGTTGTGTGACTTGCAGCAAAAGCCTGTTTCCTCCCCAAAAGGGAGATAATGACACCCACATTGCAGCAAGGCGACCGGCTGATGTCTTCACTTCTTGTTCCTGAACAGGCAAACTGCCCGGGATGCTGGGGTTCCCATCTGTGACGTCCAAAACGTTGTCTGCAGAGTTTCTCAACCTTTCTATCTGCCCCACCCCCACTCCATGGGATCAGTCGTCACTGCCCAAAGGTCCCTGGAAGAGTGTTAAACAACTATGGCTCCTCCATACTGTGGAATACGACTCAATGATCAAAAGAAACAGACTGTTGAAACACGACTCGGATAACTCTCCATCAAATTCTGTGGATTAGGGGGAAGAAATCACTTCAAAAGGCCACATACTATATGATTCCATGTATGTAACATTCTTGAACTGGCAAAATTATAGAAATGGAGAACACATCAGTGGTTGTGTGGAGGCTGGGTGAGAAGTGGGTGTGGTAATGAATGTGCACAAGAGAGGCCCTTGAGGTCTGGGAACTGGTTCATATCTTGACTGTGGAGATGGATACATGAATCTGCACAGGTTACACTTGGATAGAATTACACACACACACACACACACACACACACACACACACACACAGTGCAAGTGAAGCTGGGCAAATCTGAAGTTGATCATAGGCTGATTGTATCGGTATCCACAACCTGGTTGCAATATTGTACTATATAGAGTTTTGCAAATGTCACCATTGCGGAAAACCGGGCATAGGGTATAAGGGTTCAGTATTATTTCTTACAACTGCATGTTTATCTTTGATTTTCTCAGTTAAAATTCAAATTAAAAAATGTTTCCCTGGGGAACTCATTGTGAAAGACTGCTCTCACTACAACAGGAACAGATAATCTGGATTCAAATCCTCTTCTGCTAGCTTGCAGAGGGTGTCTGAGCAAGTCTTTTTAATGTCTCCCAATCTCGGTTCTCTCTGTGTCCTACGAGATCAAGTGTACACACATCCTGGCTACTCAGGGTCTTTAAGAGGCTCAAATGGACATTAGTGAAAGTGCAAGGCATTCGGCTCTGTCAGGCGTCACCGTGCGGTGACGTCACAGGGAGAGCCACAGGGAGGGAGGGCAGCAAGGACTTGCGTGTGAGGCTGATCTGGTTTTGAATGCTGATTCCATCACGGCTTGCCTGTGACCTTGGCAAGGTTACTTAACCTCCCTACCCTCGGTGCCCTTTGTGTGAAATTGCTTCTCTTCTGGGATCGATGTGAAGGACAGAGCTGGTGTGATAGACCTGCTCAGGCATTCGGTTAATAACTATTATGACCCACCCTCCTGGGACATGATACCGTACCATCACATCACTGGAAATGTGGACCGTGACCCCCTGTTTTGCAATATGCCAACCTGGCAACCTTGATGTCAACTTGCGAGGCAGAGAAGGGACAAGGCGACGTGAAGGCGAGGCTAAAGGGAGACGGGAGAAGACTCAGAAGGAAGGCTGGGATCACCCTCTGATGTTTGTCCTGTGCCCCTGCCTTCTGCCCCATTCAGGCCTGTTAGCACTGCCGTCACCAAGGTCAGACCCCGGCTGCAGCTGGGGTGAGGCCAGTGGCATGTGGATAGTCCTGCTCACTCCTTCTCCACCTCTCCCTGCACACCCCACTATAGTGGCTGAGACCAATTCCAGCCACCCATCTGTGGTTATCCAGTGAGAGACAGTGCTCTGGAGGGTGGGTTGATGTCTGCCACAAGGTAGCCCCTTTAAGGCCAAGGGGCTTCAAAGGAGCTCCCACTTCTGGGTAGAGACATCTTCAGACTCAGAACCCACTGCAGTCTTGTACTGGCTACTCTTCAGAACCTGTCTCGATTATGTCCAGTCTCATGGTGTTAAAGACAAACGTGGCAGCAGCTGGGTGGCCCCTTCCCTGCTCCCTCTGCTGGAGCAGGATGGGACAGTCAGGGAAGAGCGCTGTTTAGAAAGAGCTCTGGATAGCCGCTCTGGGTCACTTTTTGCCCCCTTTCTCCAGGAAGGGTGTGAAGAAGAGATGACAATTGTGTAAGGTGTTCTAGTGGGGAATCGAGCCTCATTCTACTGAAGAAAAACTCAAACCCCAGTGGGTCTCCAAATGGGTCTCAGGATGAGAGTGGCCTCCTCCCAGGATGGGTGGAGAGTCTTGTGGACAGGCGTTTCTCCAAGCCCCAGGGCAGCAGCCAGAACTAGTGACTTGAGAACTTGGGGAGCCCCAGGAGGAGCCTGTTGCCTCAGGGAGGAGGGAGGAGTTTCTCAGGGGAATTCTGCATGGCCAGCCTGGGTGCATAGTTTCTAGCTTTCTCCTCTCCTACCCTGCCTTCCCACCAGTTCAGAGCCACTGGGCATGGGGCATGGGACATGGTGCTGGGGCACAAAGGAGGAAGGAACAGCTTGGACTCCTCTCCCTGCTCCAGGGAGCACCATCCAGCTCCCAAAAATAGCATGCAGACCACAGAAGGTGGAGGAGGGCTTCAGCCAGTGAGAGGACACAGCCAAAACAGTGGCTCAAAGGAGGGACCTGGTGAAGGGGAAGGGGGTTGAGACTAGAGGCTCCAGAATGGGAGGAGGTCAAGAATCCAGCAGGGCAAGTTACAAGAATGTTCTGAGGCACCTGGGTCCTCACACCCAAGCCCCACCTACTTCCATTGTTTGTTTCTAACCTAATGCCCTCACAACCAAGAGATCAGGGTCACCTTTCTTGGGGAGTAAAACAAAAACCACAGAAGGTTGAAAGATTACTGACCCTGGAGTAAAAAAAATCTAGGTTTAAAACTTAGCTTTTGCTATATGACCTTAGTTAAGTCACTTAACCTCTCTGGACTTCAGTTAACCTATCTATAAAATAGATGAGCTTAAAGCTCTGGTCTTGCAAAAATAGTCTCTGAATTTCTGAGGAACACAGGCCCCACCCCTTATTCCCCAACATTCGGTTAGGATCTTTCTAAGCCTATAGCTGTTAGCTCACCAGGAGAGCAGGGGACAGGGTGGGGAGAGTGGGAGGGGGGCACAAGGTAGAAGGCAGCAGGCAACTTGATCCTCGCAGATTCCTCTTTTGCCCTGAGAGCAGGCGGATTTGCCCTGTAAGACATGGGTCACAGGAGGAATTTGGGAGGTCAGGTGGCTTCCCAGTTGTAGCAGGCTGGGAATGTGCTTTGAAATTCCTCACACGCCAGGCTACCTCCTCCCGAAGATTCCCTCGCCCTACCTAGGAGAAGCTGAAAACACAAGGGCATCTTTCTCTACCACTCCCAGGCACAGAATAAAGTCTTCCCTATGGGGTGTGTTGAGGTGGGATGGGACAAAGGTCACACTTGCAGGAATCCAGGGTTAACCCTTTAGGGCCAACAAGGTGGGTTCACACCCCATGAAAGGCTCCCCTGTGGGGCCTTTCCCCACCAGCCCCCCAAATGCAGCTCAGTTCTGGGGAGGAGACTGGTGCTGGGTGAGGGAAGTCAAATGGAATTTGCATGTCAGCCAGAAGAGGCTCTTCAGCGTCCCTGTCTGCTTCTGGATGTTTGGTCCTTCTCGATGCTTCCAGGACCACTTCTGAGAATGTGACCACAAGGACTCATCTGACTGATGTGGCCACAGTCTTACTCTGCTCTCTGTGTCTCAAGAAGGACCTACCTGGAAAAGTTTAGGTGATCCTGGCCTGGTGCCAAGGGGATGAATGGGCCAAGCAATCCAAGGGAGTCTGTTGGCTAGGGCTTCATGGTATCTAGAGGCCTAGCGAATACCTAGTCCGGAGGTGGGGGTGACTCACACAAGACTTTACAACTATACATCTTTAGTGACAGATCTGGGACTCAAACCCTAGTTTCCAAATGCTGCCATGGGCTTCTCTATTGCACTAATCTTAAGAGCCAACACCTCCTCTGAACCCCTCCAGGGGGGTGGTGGACTTCTGTCAACTCTGACGTCCACTCAGAGTGGACATAGGCAGACCCTGAGGAAAGGTGTCAGGGCCCTAGACCCTCTCCCACTCACCCCCCACTGTACTCTCTCCTTCCCCAGAGCCTTGCCTGAACCTTACCTCAGAACAGCAGCTGCCGACAGATCTGGAGGCGTCTGCTGGGCCTCGGCAGGGACTGGGTGAGGGCAGGGGATGGAGAGGGCTTTAAGCAGGCTTGTGGGCTGGGGCTTGTGAGCCAACCCTGCAGTGGGTGGAATGTGCTGCAGGAGATGGGCGGGGGGAAGGGGGTGGCAGTCGGGAGTGGGGAGTGTTGGCTGCTATTTTAGCAGGTGCCAGGGACAGGCCTACAGGAACATGCACCCCACGCCATATAAGCCCATGAGGTCCTCCAGCTGCTCAGATAAGCTATTTAAAACCAGAACAGATACGCAGGGGACAGACATGAGGCATAAACCAGCTGTCCCTCTTGAGAATCCTGATAAAGCAGATGCCAGCAATGCAGCCCTGGGAAGGCAGGCTAGGAACAGGGCTGGGGACAGGCAGGAGACAGCCTCCAAGATCCTTTGTGAGTCTTGCACCAGGATCCTGGGGTGCAGAGTGCTTATCTGCAGCTCCACTTGAACTCATGCTGTGTATCGACGTGTCTTCCAGGCTTCCAGCACCTTCTAATGAGCTGAGCAGTCGGACAGGTTGCCAGCTTTGCGGGCCTCAGTGAGGACATCTGCAAAGTGGGCCTTCACCATGACCCCCAAAGCCATGTGACAAGCCCTTCTGAGAGGGAATAGCTTTAAACTGCTACAGGTCAGATACACAATAGAACTTTTGGTCAAGAATGGTGGTTCTCCTTAAACCACTCCCGTGGAACCATAGGTTGTGTGAGGAGAGCAGTTGAAGGTCATCCCTCAAGGGCTTTAAAATCAAGCCATGCAGGACCATGATCCACCAAACCTACTAGACTGTAGATCCTTGAGGTCAGGGCCCAGGGGGCTGTGTGTGTTCGAACTAGCACACTACAAGGCTCCGTACATGACAAAAATGAGAGGAGGAAAGTGGGTCTGGTGGCAGCTGAACTGGCTCTCCCCCTCATGCTCTCCCTGAATTCTGCCTGACGCTGGAGGAGGAATGGCTCTCCTCTGGACCAGGTCCACCTCACCCATGCATCCCCAGCACATCCAGATGCTGCCCATTTGTGTCCACACTCTTCTGTTCCTTCTTGGACAAAGAAAGCCATCTTGTCATTCTCTGCCCACGCTTTCTAGTCCTCAAACTCTTCCCTCCATCCTGCTGCCTTGGGAGCCATGGTGTTTCGCCCTCCATTGGCTCCACACCCACGCTGCTATCAGACTCTTGCCCCATCACTCAGCTGACGCCATGCCCTCCATGGTCCCCAGTGGCGTCTGAGCCCAGTGGCCTTGATTGCCCAGCTCCAGGCTTATCCCCTGTCACGTGGGCCTCTATGTTGCCAGTGGATCAGCAGCAGGGCAAGATGAAGTCACACACCTGCCCACCAGCACTCTGGAGGAGAAGCAGACGAAGGGAACAGATTCAAAAGGATGGTGAAGGGACCATTTTTCTAGAGAACAAGTGGAGGAAGCTTCATCATCCCTCTTTCCTATTCTAGCCCACCAGGGCCCAGGCTTGCTTTGTGTCCTTGCCTGGAATCTCCTGGAATTGGGAAATTTCTCTTCCTAAGCCCTCCCTCGACCGTTCCTCAAAAGCCCAGTAACCCTCCAAATAAGCCACAGCTTGTTTGCATGGATGCCTGGAGGGGGAATCTGGGCATTCTAGATCCCTACAGAGCCCCTTGGGGGAAACCCAGCAGACTCTTGGTATCCATAGACCACATTGTGAGGCTTCCGCTAGTGGTTATGAGGAGGGGGTTCCATTCAGAGAGCTATGAGGCTGCCACTTAGCTCACTTAGCTCTAGACACCCTCCAGCAGCCACTCAGTCCATTTTGGATGTGCCCATCCTTGCAGAGATAAAGTCACCTCCAGGCAGGTGCAGTGGCTCATGCCTGTGATCCCAGCACTTTAGGATGAGGCAAGAGGATCGCTTGAGCCCAGGAATTTGAGACATTGAGGCAACATAGTGAGACCTCATCTCTACAAAAATCAAAATATTAGTCAGGCATGGTGGCATGCACCTGTAGTCTCAGCTACTCGGGAGGCTGAGGTGGAAGGATCACCAGAGCCCAGGAGTCTGAAACTGTGGTGAGACATGATCCATACCACTACACTCCCATCTGGGTGACAGAGTGAGATCCTGACACACACAAAAAGTCACTTCCCAGCACTAAGAGTAGATGAAAAGAGAAAATAAAGCAAGGGTTGTGCTAGAAGCAGCATATGCTAGAACGGTTGCCTGCAAATTTGAGGACCCACAAGAGGACAGTTCACTTGAAGGGACAAAGGGCCACTGTAGCAGGAGGGCAGGTCAAGGAGTGGTGAGTGAAGACCACTTCTGTACCCAGAGGGTGCTCAAGGTCACCTCCACCAAGAGGCCTCCTTGCTCACCTGGCTGCCCAGTTACTACCACTTACCTATCACCAGCTGAAGTCATCTTGGGTTGCACTTGTCTCTTTATTTACTGGCTGTCTCTCCAATAGAAACGAGGGCAGGGCCCTCACGTGTTGGATGCATGCAAGCAAAGGAGAGGGAACGGTGGAGTCTGCCCTCAATGAGCACCGCCGTGGGGGAAAGTGTGCAGGTGTGAAGGGCCTCACCACCCTGACACCCAGGACCAAGCAGGCTCTGTCTTCTCAGCCTCTTATTCCTCAGAGGGGTTGGGTCCCACTGCCGGAAGAAGGCCTTAGGAGCCTCTTCTAAGAAAAGCGTGTGGAGAGACCATTTTGCTTACTGCCAGGGGGACTTTTTAAAGTTTAGAACATGAGTATGTGAAATTCCTTAGAGGTCATCTGCTCGAACCCCAAGATGGCATTTCAGAGAAAGGAAATGTCAGAGGGTCACACCCAAGCCCTGGCAGAGCCAAAGTGGTTCAGATCTCCTGAGGCTCCTGAGGTACGCCACCTACTCCTCTGCCCTGCCCCAGCTTCCTCTTCTCCTCTCAGCTGTGGAGTTGGAACACTGGAAAAGCTCCAGTCCAAGCAGCGTGTGGGGCGTGCTCAGGACAGGGCCTGTAGGTCCTGCTACTCCAAATTCAGTGCAGGCACAGGGGACCAGCCACAGGAGACTCACTGGCCAGCAGTGGGCCAGCCTAGGGGCACCAGGAAGTCTGCATAGGTAGGGCTCTAAGGTCCTCTGTCCCCTGGAACTATGGGATCTGAGACAGGAGCCCCCATCCAGAGTCACAGAGCCGGGGTAGGGCTTCTGCCCCACACGCTTGGGGGACTGGGCTGGTGATGCCCTCAAGTGCATGTTCCGAGGAGCCCTGGAGTTTCCTCAGCCACGCAAAAAGGGAGTGGGCGGGGCTCCACACCTATTCTCACTCCCAACTGTTTCTGGGTAAAACCAGAGCAATCAATTGGGAGAGAGCATTCTAATGATTAAAAGACAAAACAAACAAACAAAACACACAAACACACACACACTTTTTAAGCCACAGCCTTAAGAGGCTGACAGACCACCAGGCTGATTCTCTTAGCTTGGTTGGGCCTAGATTCTCTGGGGGTCCTCATTCTCCAAGTTCACACAGGCCATGATGTCAGAAGAGTTGGGTGTGAGGGGAGGTCCAGCACTGTATGCAGCCATCCTAGACCACCAAGTCACCAAGCTGGGACCACTGAGTGGCAAGTCCACTCCCTTAACATGAGGAGAAAAGAGTGGGACTAGGAAAATGATGATCCTCCTCCCACCCCAGCCAAAATAATCTTCACACACTACAAATGATCCCTGTTAGAAAGCAAAACCTCTAGAAAGAAACTCATTTTTAAGGTATCATTAGTCACTTATACCTGAGAGTGAATTCGTTTATCAGGTCCTTTCTGAGAACAGGTTTTTCAGAGAAAGTGTACATGGTTGCACAGAAAAAGGCACTTAGCTCCTGGCGAGGCAGTAGGCCAGGGAAGGGAGGGGAGAACAAAGCAGGGAGAGGAGACCATGGAAGAGGCCTGGCAGCCCCTTCACCATCTTGCTGACTGGGCCTCAGCAGCTAGGAGCAGGCCCCACGGACCAAGGTGGGCAGGCCTAGGCCTCAGTGAGGGAGACATCACAGGCACATGGAGACACCTGCTGGGAACTGATGAGACAGGTGGCCCTGGAGTTCTTGAAGGATGCCCTGCCCTGCCCCTGGATGTGACCAGGAAGGAGGGATGACTTTGGACAGGATGCCGAGGCCCCGTAGTGCTGATGTGCACCAGTGCTGTGCCCTGGGCTGATGCTGGGTCCTAGCATCTGCTGCACCAGCAGCAGGAGGTACAGGGCACACCTGCCCCCAGAGGCTGGGAAGGAGCTAGCTGAGGCTTGATGACATTCCTGGCCCCCGGGGACCCTGGCCAGACAGGTCCAGAGGCAGAAAGGGAGCAGGGGCAATGAGAGGCAGGGGCGCGGCTGCAGGAGGCAGGGGCACGGCATGAGGGAGGGCCCCTGAGAGGCAGACTTGTAGGTCATCTTGGCAGGGCTGGTTATACCTACGGGACAAAGGTCTATTAGAACAAGGGAAGGCAGTTCCTGGGGCTGGGAGGGAAAGGGGGCCACCGGACAGGGAGGCATTCTTTTGCCCAAACCCCATACCCACACCGGTTAGAGTCCTGCATCTGCTGACTAAAGGGGCAGGGGCCCTGCAGAGCTGTGGGACGCAAAGCCGGCAGAGGACTCTATCACGGTCTCATGGTTGGCGCAGACCGCGAGTGAGCAGGAATGGGGACATCCGAGTGCCTGGACTGTGCCTTTGCAAGACAATTAGTGTGTGCACACAGCAGAGGTGTACGGCCCTCTGTCTCAGGGCCAGATCCTTCCCCGCTCTATTCACCTCAGCATCCAGGGAGGAGTCTGACTTCTTTCCCCACTGAGTCTTCTTGGAGGTGGCTGACTCCTTCCGTACCTCCTGATTGGGAGCACCAGGGTGGACACAAGGGACTAAGGCAGGACTGGAAGCAGACAGGGATCCCCCAGACCTATCTGTCTGTCCAGGATGTCCTCCCTCCTCTTGAAAGGGAAAAGCACCCCAGACCTACTCCCCCTCTCTGCTGTAGTCTGACCCGCAGGACTGTCCATTCCCTCCCTGCCTCCCATGCCTCCACTCCTGCAATGGCTCACTGTTCTCTGGGCTGTCCCTCCTCTGATTCAGATCATTCCGCCATGAAAGTACCCACAGTAAGAGACAACAGAGAAGGACGAGGTTACCTGGGGATCCTGATCTCCAGACTCCTGGGTCCTGCTGATCCATAGGTTGAGCCTTGATGTCACAATCCCTGAGAGCCTCAAGTGCTCCTAAAAAGAGAGCCTTCCATCTCAGGGCTTGGGGGCCACTGGCAAGAGCAAGCCAATTTCAGAGGCCCTGGAATGAGGATAGGGCTGTACCTCACTCCCAAATACATCTAGCACACACCATGTGTCTGTGGGATGAACCCCTTCCCTTCCCCCAGGGAGCTATGTGCGTGACTAAGGAGACTTGGGCTCAGGAAGACAGATGGTAACTCAAGTCAAGGTTTGCCAACATTAATTGACAGGTGAAAACATAGAATTCTCTAGCACTGCCAGGGCCGAAGTCTGGGTTTTGGAGTCCTCAGGGTTCATCAGCTTAAAGACTCCCACTGGGGCTGAGCCCCTCACCTTCCGGCTGGAGGCTGATTCTGCTCGGCTCTGGCCCACCAGTTCCTTCTCAAAGAGGTGGCGTTTGCTGGCTACACCCACAGGAGCCACGAAGAACTCAGTGCGAGATGAGCCTGGAGACTTGACGGATTCTGATCTCTGGGAAGTGAGAACACAAGCCACTGAGCCACATAGGTGAGGTGGCCAGACTGTGCCCACCACCCATCAGGTTCTCTCCGCCCCTTTAGGCGAGCGCTGCGCACCTGTATGGCTGTGTGGTATCTCTCCAGCTTCTCCTCTAACTTCACTGTGCTGGCTGGGAGTCTCACACTGGCACTGCAGGATGGAGCAACAGGACAGACAAGCCAGGTGAGACACCCCCACCCCCGGGGAGTCCAGACCTGCCCACAGACAGGGCCTGAGGAGTAGCCCCCATCACACCCCATCATTCCAAGAGTACGTGACCCTCCACTGCAGAGCGAGCTGCACTGACCTGGCCAAGGTGAAGAACTGCAGACTCCAGGGAGTTTCCTCCACTCCTGAGAAATAGCCCACTCGGGAGGACATCCCCAGAGTCAGAACATCTTCCACTCCCCCCTGCCACCCTCTTCCTCCCACATACTGTCACTTCCACCTCATAAATGCCTTCCAAATCGGGCCCTTTCTTTGCACCACTGAAATACCCAACTACCCACTCCCCCTACCAGCTATCCTGCACTCTCCTCCTCTCTGCCACCAGGCTGCTCCTACTGCAAACAAATCTGATCCCATTCTTCTGGCTCAGAGCCCTCGGTCCACAGGACAGGGGCCAAAATCCCTGGCAGAGCACAAAAAGCTTTCAAGATCTGGCCCTTGCCGGCTTTCCCTTCACATGCCTCTGTGCCAGCCAAATGGACATGCATGCTCTTCTCTGTGCCTTTTCACATGCTGTTCCCTCTATTTAAAATGCCATTCCTCCAGAATGGCCACATAGCGAGTCCTCGTCTCTACAAAAAATTAGCCAGGCATGGTGGCACGTGCCTGTGGTCCCAGCTACTCAAGAGGCTGAGGCAGAAGGATTGCCTAAGTCCAGGAGGTTGAGGCTGCAGTGAGCTATGATGGTGTCACTGTACTCCAGCCTGGGTAACAGAGGTCTCAATTCAAATAAAATAAAATAAAATAAAATGCCATTCCTCAGTTTTTCACCTAGAAATTTCCCACTAGTTCAAGTCCCCTGTGGAATGTCAGTGGCTCTGTGATGTCTTCTCCAGCTCGCACAGGCCGGGTGGGTGGCTCTGTGACACCTTCCCCAGCTGACACAGGCTGGGTGGTGGCTCTGTGACATCTTCCTCAGCTCACACAGGCTGAACAGGTATGGCTCCCACTGAACCCCCAGCCCTTGGTTCCTAGTTCTCTCCCCGTGCTTCCCATTTGGGAGACCGGTGTGTGTGTCAGGGTCTCATGTGAGCTGCTTGAGGACAGCAACTATGTCTTACTCATCTTGGCACTCCTGGTCCTTCACCCCCACCTAGCCCTCGGGCCTAGCCTGGTACAGCAGGCTTCGGTAACTGCTTAGAGGGCAGATGAATAGAGGATGAGTGGATGAAATTCCTAACACATAAGCACAACTGCTTTTCAGATCCCGTTTCAGTCTTTTTTTTTTCTCCAAAGCATTGTCCTCAGACTATTTGCATCCACACTGTGGAGCACAGGGATACTTGTTAAAACTGCAGGCTCCCAGACCTGCTGAGGCAGAGGCATGCCCTCCCTCACACTGCTCTTGGCCTTCCCCTCCTAGAAAGTCCTCCTCTCCTTTCCCACTCCTAACCTCAGGACCAAACCCTCTTCCCCCTTGAGAGCCCTGCCTCCTCCATGAAGCTCTCCCTGATTCCTCTTCCTCCCTGTTCTATCTTCTCCAGACTTAGTCCTTCCTGGTAATCCTCTGGGCACAGCCTAGTACAAGAAGATAGGTGGCAGGTACTCAGAAAATACAGTCTGAATGTGACCAAACAGGAGCAAGTCAGGGACTCTAGGCCTCCCACCTGCGGGTTAAGGTAGTTTCTGAGTTGTCTTTCCTGGGGCTCATCTGGAATGAGAAGGAAAGGTATCGGTGAGTGGGAGGTGTCCCAGGGAGGTTGGTGTGTCCCGGACCCCTCCAAGTTGGGCCTGAAAGGCCCAACTCTCAGGACAGTTCCTCCTGCTTGGCCCTCCCACCACTTCCACCAAAGGTCGGCCCCCCAGCCAAAGAAATACATGGCCAAACCATCATTAAGGGCCCTCATCTTGCCTGGGAAGCACGGGTCACCACCCACCAGCTGGGCTCAGAAACCCTTCCTTCCCTAGGTTTCCTTCTCAGGGTACCGGCTACCCTGTTTTCCCATCTGCCTCCCCCTGCCCATGAGCCCTGTGGGCTGCTGATCAACATCTGGCCTCCAGCCTCATTTCCAGTGCCTGTCACATATGAGAGGCACAAGGCCCAGCGAGCCAATGGATGAGGGAATAACCCAGTGAACAAAAGAACTAAAAGTACTGGAAGAAGGCAAGACAAGGCTCTCCTGTCTGCAAATCTGTACTACTGGGGCAGCGGCAAAGCAGAGGGCCAGCCCTGCTTCTCTCTGCCCCTGCCCTCCTAGTTGAGGCCAGCCTCCTAGGTGAGGCCAGGAATTGATGAAGGCAGAGGTGGGCCTCTTGCCACCCAGCATCCTCCCTGCCTGTGCCATCTTCCTGCAGCTCTGACTTTGCCCACCAGGTGGGGCTGCTCATGCTTCTGACACTCACCTCCTAGAGGTCATTAACCTGCTCTCCTTATTTAACACAGCCTCGTCTGGCTCAGGTCATCCATGGGTATTCAAAACCCCTCTCTAGGCAGGATCGTCCTGCTATCTAGCCTAGGGCTCCTGTGCAGTAATGGATGCTTGTTTCCTTGGCTTGTCCTTCAGTAGCCTGGAGACAGGGGTGCCCTGGGTTCTTACCCGAAATGAGATGGTCCTGGAGCTAGAGCGTCTGAGCGAGCTGCTGTAGGTGCGCTGCGTGGGTGAGGATGTGTCCGCCTCTTCCTCCTTGCTGGGGATTTTTACCTGGATGGAGCAGGGGGAGTGTCACACAAGCAGTCTAGTCCCGCCAGGCCCAGGCAGCCACAGACCCCATGTGGCATGGCTCATCCCAGGAGCTACAGGAAGAAGGTGGGAGTGAGACAGCCCTGCACCTTCTCTTGCCTCCTTCATCTGCTGTGGAGAGTGACACAGTCCCTTGGGGCCAGACAACCGTGTAGCTACAGGGGAGCTTCTGGAAGTAGCTTCTGGAAGTATTCCAAGAGTCTGCTGGGGTCCTGGAGTTTGGGGCCTGGATGCGGATTTGGTATAGGGTACTAGGTGCTCCCTGCCCCACAGCTGGTGCCCTGTAAGTGCCAGCAGCCTGCCCTGCCTCAGTGTCCCCATTCTGACCATAGTTGGAAGCAGGGAGAAGAGAGACTGCCAAGGCCAGCCTGCAGGCGGGAGAACAGGAGGCAGCAAGGGAACCAGAGGCAGAACTAGCAGGGAAGGATAGGTGGGGAGGCAGGGAAGCAGGGTGGGAGGGATGGAACACTGCCAACCTGGAGTGTGACTGGTGGGAAGCGGGAAGCCACAGCCGGAGGATCCGATCCCCCCTGCTCTGTAGAGGAAGGTGACTTCTTCCCAGAAAGGGCTCTTTCTCGCTGTTCCTTGGTGCTGGTCGGGCTTTCCCCCGACACTGGCTGCTCCTGGGCCTGGGGCTGCTCTGAGGGCCTCTTTGGGACCAGCTTGATGTCTGTGGTGGTCGGGTTCTTCTCTGAGACCAGTGACTTCTCAAAGAACGATGCTTTCTCAGACACCAGTCTCCTTTCTGAGCCTGACATTTTCCCTGGGGTTGGCATCTTCTCTGAGACACTTGTTTGTTCTAGAACTGACTTCTTCCCTGAGATGGACCTCTTCTCTGTCGCTGCTATCTTCTCCAACACTGACATTTTCTCAGGGGCTGGAGTCTTCTCTGAGACACTTGTCTTTTCTGGAACCGGCTTCTTCTCCCAGCTATCTCCTTTCTCTGACCCTGTTTTCTCTGAGGTCAGCTCCTTCTCAGAGATGGAGGATTTCTTTGAGACCAGTCTCTTTTCAGGAGTCATCTTCTCTGGCACGGAGGATTTCTCTGAGACTGGGGTCTTCTCTGGAACCGTTTTCTTCCTCCCTCCTAACTCCCTTCCTGCCAAACTCTCCTCCTCCAGGGCCCAGGGGCCCCGCTGCTCCCGGCTCAGTCTCCGACGGGGTGGTGACTCTGAGTCCTTCTTGGGGACCAGGGGTTGCTGCGTGGGACCCGAGCTGTTCCTTCCCTCCTCTGCCTCCAGCCTCTCCCGGGTGGGGGCCTGTGCAGCCTCCACCACCTGCCGCCTCTGCCTCCGTTCCTGCCGTGTCCTAAGGATGGCCTGGATGCCTTCATCCTCATCCTTCGAGGCTGGGGGTGGTCGCTTGGGCCCCTCTGTTTCTTCCACACTCGGCAGTCTGAGTCAGAGAAGATGGGAGATGGAATGGGAAACAGGATCAGAGGATGTCACAGGTGGAAGGGACCCTGGGTGTACATAATCCAATGGAGATGCCTCTAGGGACATCAAGAGGTGAGGAAGTTGGGCCCTGGCCTCCCCACCACCACCAGTTAAAGACGGATCACCTTGATTCACTTCACATATTGGGCTTCCAAAGGATCATTTGAACAAAGCATTCCTTGCTTCAAAAAAAGTTTATAAACCCCTGTAAGGTCCAACCATCCCATGTTCAGACATAGTCAACAAATATTAAGCAACTACTTCACATGTGCCAGGTCTTGTGCTGGGCACTGGGGATCAAAATGAACAAACACAGTCCCTGTCCCTTAGATCTTAGATCAAGACCAGAGATGTTCAGGGATTTGCCAAAGGTCACACAGCTCATTGGTGGCGAGCTGGGAGCAGAACCTGAGGCTTCTGACACACCATCCCACATTCCTGTCAGTCACACAGGTGTAGGCAGGACTGGGTGTTAGCCACAGGTACTGATGCAGCCTGGGGCACACAACCTGTTCTCCCTTCTCTGAAGGACCCAGGGAAACAAAAGCCACATGAGAAGATTGTCCAAAACCCACAGCACTTGGCCTCCAATAAAAGGGGATTCTTTTCCTTCCTCACCACCCAGCTCTCCATCTGATTTCAAGCAAGTTAACTCACTGTCTGAACCTTAGTTTTCAAATCTGCAAAATGGGCGTGTTAGAAAGTAAAATGAGACTCATCTCATGGGAGTACCCAGTACAGTCTTGGCATGTAGGTAGCACTGAGTAAATTCCAGGTCCTTTTCTTTCCCTCATAATCCTAGAATCTACATGGCAAAATTAGCCTAAGTGTTCCTCCACTCAGAAGTAAACTATGAAGGGAAGCATCACGGATAATGGAAAGAGTTGAACCCCAGGGCTTGACAGATCTGGATGCAAATTATGGCCCTGCTGCTTTTCAAGTATTTGATCTCAGCAAGTCACCTGGGTACCCTTCAACTCAGTTTCTCCATCTGTCAAGTGGGTGCACAATCTCTCTTTCTCAGGCATACTGTGAAGGTTAAGTGAGCTATGTCCCAAAAATGTCCAGCAATGTATTGGCTCAAGGATAATCTCAACAAATAGTAGCGATCCTTGTTGTAAGCAGGGTGGAACCTGGTAGGACTGAGGAGGGGTCTGAAGAAGGTGAGGAGCTTGAAGTTCACCTTCACACACCCTCAGCCTCATTCCCCAGGCCTCAACTCCCCAGGCAGGCCGCATGCTGCACTTTGTCTATCTGGAGCAGCTAAGTCCATCCCCATTACCCAGCAGAGGGAAACAATGCCCTGGCCCCCACCCTGCCCGGAGCACCTCTCAGAGGCCTGTCGGTCTCCGTTCTGGCTGAGCCTGGGAGCCTCATCATCAGTGGTGGAGCTCAGGTTACGGTGCCGCCGCCTGCGCTCTCGCTCCTGTTCCTCCTCATCTTCCAGAGTCCGCTGCCGGGCAAGGCTGGGGAAGGAGTGGAGAGTCAGCACAGGACCTTTCCCAGGCCAGACTTCTGCGGGGCTGGGAGAAGAGATCAAATGCCCTCCAGGTCTGCACAGGCTGTAAATGGTTATGGAGCACTTGAAACGTGGTTGGTCTGAACCAAGAGGTGCTGTAAGTGTGAAATACGTGCTGGATTTCAAAAACTAGTAAAAGCTCTCATAAGAACTGCATATGGGTCTTGCCTGTAATCCTTGTGCTTTGGGAGGCTGAAGTGGGAGGATTACTTGAAATCAGGAATTTGAGAGCAGTCTGGATACATAGCAAGACTCATTTCTACAAAAAATAAAATAATTAGCCAGGCATGATGGTATGTGCCTGCAGTTCCAGCTACTTGGGAGGCTGAGGCTGGAAGATCACTTGAGCCCAGGAGTTCAAAGTGGCAGTGAAATATGATCACACCATTGCACTCCAGCCTGAGCAATGTAGTGAGTGAGCCCTGTTACACACACACACAAAAAGGTGTATTTATATGTTGAAATGATAATATTTTAGATATATTGGAGTAAATAAGATATAGGATAAAAATTAAGTTTGAACCTTTTTACTTTTTTTTTTTAGTTGGAGTCTCACTCCATCACCCATGCTGGAGTGCAATGGCACACTCACGGCCAGCCCAGTGTCAACCTGCTGTGCTCCGGCGATCCTTCCACCTCAGTCTTCCAAGTAGCCGGAACAACAGGTGCACGCTACCACACTCGGCTAATTTTTGATTTATTGTTGAGATGAGGTCTCACCAAGTTGCCCGGCCAGGTCTCAAACCCTTGGGCTCAGGCAATCCATTCACCTCAGTCTCCCAAAATGCTGGGATTACAGGCTGAGCCACCGAGCCAGGTCGTACCTTTTTACTTTAATGCAAGCACTCAATTTAAAATTTTAAATATAGCTCAGATTATATGTCCATTAAATTTCTATTAAGGCTACGGGGATTTGAGTTAGACCAGGGTTTCTCCACCTCAGCACCACTGACTTTTTGGCCAGATAATTCCATGTTTGGACTGTTCTTGGTTGTAGGATGTTGAGCACCCTACCTCCACCAACCAGATGCCAGTAGCACCACACCCCGGCTGTGACAACCAAAATGTTTTCCCAATATTGCCAAATGTCCCATGGGAGCAAAATCACCCCAATGAGAACCATGGGTTGGACTTTACTCTGGACCCCAGGGTGGGAATGCGGGGGCCTCCCTCCCCAGGATGACTAGGAATGTGGAAGGGTGGGCATGGTTCTGCCGGAAGGAAGTATATGAACTTGCCATGTGCCTTTCACTTTTTGATTCTGGGATTCTTAGATAATATCTCTCAATGGACAGTCTCAGAGAGATTCCCTCAGAGTTACTCAATTCCCTGTGGAATTTGTTAGCTTTTGGGAGGGAGAGACTCACAGATAAGACCAGTTACCCCTGGGAAAAACTCCAATATCCTCTCTCCTTCCCTTCCTGGGAGCTCTTGGAGCCCCCTTGTCTTTTAGATGGAAAGAGTTTAATGGAAAGGAAAGAGTTGAATCACAGAGTCTGATGAAAATTCAGACATCTTTTACTTGTCCATAGGAGTAGAAGGACCCCCACATGCCCTACTTTTGGTCTCTGCCCCCGGTCACCCTTCATTCATGGGGCCAACCGGGTACTCTACAGCCACTCATTCATACACCCATGCACATAGCCACCTGTTATCCAACTGTCCTACCATCTACCCACCCAGCTCCTCCTAACCCATCCTCCCTTCCTCCCACCACCTTCCTTCCAACCCAACCAAAGAGCAAATAAATACTGGCTGAGCAACTGCGACAGGCCAGCACCATGTCAGGATGGGGGAGGGGGGTCACAGAATAACATGGTAGGTCTCTGCCCTGGAGATATTGACAATCTAGTGAAAAAAAAGAAGTGCATCCAATAACCCTCCCAACCAAAGTACAGAAGTCACTTTGCAGAGAGAGAGAGAGAGAACAAATGCTACAGGAAAAGATGATCAGGAATGGCTCACAGGAGAGACTGAACCTGGCCTGGATCCCAGTGAGCAAATGGATTTCCATGGGGTCATAGGGGCTGGGTGAAACTGGCAGTCCAGGCAGAGGAAGTCAGAAGGTGAAGTGGAGTTTTCTGAGGGTTTGCAGAAGACTGTGCTTCACCAGGAGAGGGAGGAAAGGTTTTGAGCAGGAAAGTGGCAGATTATGAAGGTCACTGGGTAAGCCTTCCCTGGAGTCCTCCTGTGACTTTCCTGTGCTGTCTGGGACCCAGATCAAAAGGTTCCAGGCTGAGTGCAGTGGCTCACGCCTATAATCCCAGCACTTTGGGAGACCGAGATAGGAGGACTGCTTGAACCCAGGAGTACAGGACCAGCCTGGGCAACATAGTGAGACCTCTTCTCTACAAAAAGAAAAAAATCCAGGCATGGTGGCATGCACCTGTAGTCCCAGCTACTTGGGAAGCTGAGGTGGAAGGATGACCTGAGCCCAGGAGGTTGAGGCAGCAGTAAGTCATGATCATGCCACTGCACTCCAACCTGGGTGGCAGAGTGAGACTCTGACTCAAAAAAAAAAAGAAGGTTCTAGAAAAGACCTCTGTCTTCCTGCCAGAGTCACAGCAATGACAGCAAGGCCTCCGCTTGCCACTGACAGGTGCCAAATTCTCTACTCCCTTTGCCCTCCTAGCCTCTCCTGCTGCCCAGCCCTAGTTCCCACTGAGCCTCTCCCCTCCTAGAGGGCATAAAAGGATTCTTTGGGGAGTCTAATGAGGCAGGGTCAAATGATGTGGTTTCTAGTCCTCCGGCCCTTGGGCAAATCACTTCCTTTTCTCTTCCTCAGTTTTACTTCCTAAAATGAGGAGGATGAATTACACGATGCCTTCAGTTTTTTGCTAGGACCAGCATCACATGTAATAAGCCAACATTTACTAAACAAATATTTTGAGCACCTAGACATTATTCCAGGGCCCCAGATACAGTTGGGAACGAGACCAACAGGGTCCTTCCCTTCATGGAACACGTCTCTGGGATTGAGGGAGAAACAGACAAAGAGAAAGGAAACAAGTCCATGAACAAAACGTCATCAGCTGGGTGTCACCAGGACAATGGAATAAGGTAAGTGATGGGAGAGAAGGTAACTGGGTGGGAAAGTCCTCTCTGAGAGACCCAGCTCATGAGAAGGGGCCAGCAGAGCCAGACTTGGCCACAAGTGCCCCAGGAGGCAAGGTCAGGGTAAAGGGCCTTGGAGACCAGGGAAGGAACCTGTGCTTTATTCGAAGTGTGCCAGAGAGCCACTGGAAAGGTGGACACTGACGTGATCTAATAGGGTTTCTACCTTTTCAGTCTCTCTGGCTGCATATAGAAAAAGAATGTAAGGGGGTGAGGAAGGGAAAACAGGGGGACCCACCAGGAGGTGTTTGCAATTACCCAGGCTAGAGCTATGGTGGCTTGAACTGGGGTGGTGACAGAGAGACGGGGAAGAGTGATGGATGCAGGACACAGTCAAGATAGAGCCAATAGGATTTGCTGTTGGAATGGATGTTGCGGGGGTGGGGTAAGAAAAAGAGAAAACTCAAGAAGAGCACCTAGACTTTTGACCTGAGCCCTTCCTGGAGCTGCCACTCGTAAGGCAAGGCCAGGGGAGGAAGGAGTCTGGTGGGATGTCAGGTGGTGGTGGAAAGAGGAAAGACGGAAATGAAGAGGTCTGTTCCTGGCTTGTTCAGGATGAGAAGAAACAGTGAAAAGCAAAGGAGATCAAGACACTGCAGAGATGGCAAGCAAGCCAGGCAAGGGTTTTGGCACAGACAGAAGGGCAAGAGTCATGGTCAATGCTACTTAAGACGCATGAGACCAGGATGGGGTCATGAGCACAAAGGGGCCTGGTCCCTGGGAACAGCAGTTTTGATGGGGTGGGTAGGCCAGAGCCTGACGGGGCCAGTGAGGAACGAATGGGAGCCAGGAAGGAGGAGTTGTTGACTGGCAATAACTCTTTTGAGAAGTCTTACTGAAAAGAAAAGCAAATAAAATGGAACACTAGCACTAAAGGGGGACGAGGGCTCAAAGAGTGCTTTTTAAAATTGAGGTGTTATTTAACACAAATGCATAGATCTTGTTTTGTTTTTTTAAGAGGAGCAAATGAAGGCGCGTGAGAAAGTCTGAGGGGGTTTGAAGAATGAGTGCCGGACAGGGTGGCTCACGCCTGTAATCCCAGCACTTTGGGTGGCAGAGGCCAGAGGATTGCCTGAGCCCAGGGGTTCAAGACCAGCCTGAGGAAAGAGGTGAGACCTCATCTCCACAATAAATAAATAAATAATTAGGCCAGACTCGGTGGCTCAGCCTGTAATCCCCGCACTTTGGGTGGCAGAGGCCAGAGGATTGCCTGAGCCCAGGGGTTCAAGACCAGCCTGAGGAAAGAGGTGAGACCTCATCTCCACAATAAATAAATAAATAATTAGGCCAGACTCGGTGGCTCAGCCCGTAATCCCAGCACTTTGGGAGGCCGCGGCGAGTAGATTTCCTGCGGGTTCGAGACCACCCTGGGCAACTTGGCGAGACCTCGTCCCTACAATAAAATAAAAATAAAATAGCTGGGCATGGTAGCGCATGTCTGTAGTTCCAGTCACCTGGAAGGCTGAGGCGGAAAAATTGCTGAAGTCCAGCAGGTTGGCTGGGGTGGCCGTGAGCGTGTTTGCCACTGCACTCTAGCCTGGGCAAAGGAGTGAGACTCCAACTCAAAAAATAAAATAAAATAAAATAAAACAAAACTGCCAGGTGTTGTAGCACATGCCTGTAGTTTCAGTTACTTTGAAGGCTGAGGCAGAAGGATCACCTGAGCCCAGCAAGTCAAGGCTGTGGTGGCCATGAGTGTGCCACTGCACTCCAGCCTGGGCCACAGTGAGACTCCGACTTAAAAAGAAAAGAAAAGAAAAGAAAAAAATGTGTGAAGAAGTTGTCCTGCAGTGAGAGAAACACCTAGTTTCTCTCTAGTATCCAGCATGGTGC